ATCTTAAACAATGCACATGATTGAGGTCCCCTCAACTCAAAAAATACTGTATTAGAACAGGAAAAGGCACAGGGAACAGCAGCTAGGATGATCAAAAATGTGGAACACCTTCTGCATGAGGAACAGTTGAGTTACCTATGTTCTTCAGCCTGGGAAAGAAAGCAGTTATGGGGGATAAAATGCCACAAAATGATAAGCAGCACAAAAAAAAAAAAAGTTATACCCATTCAAGTATTGTAAGTAGACTCATGCTGTTTTATAAATCAAAACAGAAATCCCTCCAAGCATCGCTTCCAATTACCTGTAAAGAAAAACTGAGCTCTGGCAAGCGAATCAGGCTTTGTTCCTCTGGCACAGAACGGCCATCCATCACAGGACTGCAGCCTCGCGTCCTCTGCGCTGTACCTGTGGCCATGCTCTGCTGGGTTCTTCTCCAACTTCTGAACACATATGTCATACTTTGAAGTATTACCCACCTCTTCGCCCAGGACAAATTCACAAGTGGGACAAAATTTCTTGTGCTGTTCGTATGGGGTGCATCTAACCTTCATGGAAAGTAAAACTAATCCACAGCAAAACCATTGCACACTGGATTTAACAAGCATGTGATAAAATGCAGCAGCTGCCATTTCTGTCAAGGACCATGATGAATGAGATGTATAGGACAAGAAGGGCTTTAATCTATTGCGTTCATTTCTCATGGTAGGGTTTGTAACTCTTCTATAGCTGTTGGAATTCTGCCTCCATGTCTTTGGCAAACTTGTGAAAATCAAAGGCTACGCATGGGAAACGAGCTTGCAAAGCAGAAGGATTCAGCTCATGTATTTCATTGTCATTTGTCTCCACTGTAGGGTCCCCTTTGGCAGATATTTTCTGAAAAAACAAGGAAGACTACCTAATTATATTACCTGCGTCTTTTAGATAACATTCAGTCATCACCTCTGTTACCTTAATAACACGGCTTCTACAGGTTATAAACCTTTGATTTCACCTTACTAAGAAGACATAAGGTTAACTGTAGAGTTGGTATAAACAGGTGTATTACTAAATCCGACTAGCCAAATTGAGACTTCTACAAACTCTGATTGACCACTGCCCTTATAACGATAATAGCAAGTATCCTGAAGCCTTCACAACCAAAATGGAGGGAAAAGAGAGACATAAACAGGTGAAATTTGAGCAAGGTGACACAAGACTGGACATTAGGAAAAACTTCTTTACTGAAAGAGTGGTCAGGCCTTGGAACAGGCTGCCCAGGGAAGTAGTGGAGTCGCCATCCCTGGAAGTATTTAAAAGACATGTAGATGAGGCGCTTAGGGACATGGTTTAGTGGGCATGGTGGTGTTGGGTTAACGGTTGGACTCGATGATCTTAGAGGTCTTTTCCAACCTTAATGATTCTATGATTCTATGAGACTGACAGATCCTAAGAGCTTCATCCTGTAGCTTAAAAACCTAGAATGGCCTCAGCAAACCAACACGCCTCTATTATCTCAATTCTTCCATCTCAAAGCCATATCTGAATGTTGCTAGCACATTTTGAATTTCTCCTTAAATCAGGAAAAAAAAAAGGTGGCAAAACATACAATGCCAAATGGAAGATGGGAAATAGAAGTGAAAAATACATTAAAAAAAAAAAAAAATCAAAGCATGTAATTGTTTTATTGCAGTATTTTTAAATTTCAACAGTTTTCAATATAAGTAGTGACTAGCAGGAATTGCATAATCCTTCATGAAAAGGAACTAGGATTTCATCATCACAAAATGAAATTAATTTGGCAATGAAATTTATTGCAAACTCAAATTGTCAATACTTCTCTCCAGTAAAGTGGTTTTATTAAATGCTTGGTATTTACACAAGTCTTCTCAAATATAGCTTATTTCTAGAAATAATAACTTTTTGTTGTTATTAGTACTGTGGTAAGATAACCGTAGGAAGTATTTTGCTATGTGATGGTTCAGAACACAGCAAACGTCTACAGTTCAGCTCCATATAGTCAAATTCCCCCCACCTCCAAAGAGCTTTGCTTTGTTTTCTCAAATAATTGAGTGATCTTAAGAGATTTATCACGTTTACCAAATTCATCCTTAAGAAAGTGATTCTAAATTCAGAATCTCCAACCTGTTGTTCTTACTCTCTTTCACTGGTTATAAAAAACGCATTCTCCTCTCATAGGAAAATGTGTGCTAAACAATTTAAGTCCGTTCAAATCACAAGGCAAAAAGCACTGCAAAAGTTTTAAGTGTCTTCAAGTTCTATTATATTTTGAAAAATTACTTTCATGAATTGCACTACGGGCACCACGTGTATTTTTCCTAAATATGGAAACGTGATTCTCATTCAAATTCGATGACTTTTAAAATAAAAGTCATCTACTGTCATTCCTTCAGCTAGGATTCTGCACAATCCAGTAACGCTTCAGAGTTAGTACTTTACGGCATTTTTTCATCCATAAGCTACATCATAATCTAGAACTAAAACTGTTCCTCGTCTTGCATGAGACAGACCAGGATGCCATGTAAGTTCTTCAGGAGTTGCGGTTGTTATGCAAAACTAACCCCAGACATATCTTTTACTCATATTTTAATATATTTTCAGCACTTCCAGTCTTGGAAATTAGTTACGACTATTAATGCAGATGGGAACTTTCATTCCTGCAAGGAAAGTATAAAGTGGACAGTAAAGCAAGGGCACTCACCTTTCCGAAATCCTCTTCACTCCACACGGCAGTGTGCTCTCTAGTCTCACTGTGCCTTTCAGCCTCAAACTTCTTGCCACAGTTGTGTCCTCAACAAGATGTTTTTGTCTTTTTGTCTCTTCCTTCAACGCTTTATGTCCAAACTGTATTACGCAACATCTTCAGAAAGTGTAAGAATTTCTCACAGGCCTGCTAATAACCTCACTGATTGACTAATCTTGTGGCAGATCCAGTAAATAAGAAAATACAAGAACAAGAATTAAGCAGGTTGTAGCTTCCCACAACCAAAGGAGACTTGAGACCCAGGGAATCCCGGTCAAACAGTACAGATGAAGGAAGCATTTCCCCCATGCTGCTTTAAACACAAAGGCCACAGCTGAAATTCTTTACACATCAGAGAAATGTTGCCCCGATAGCAATTTTTCAGGACCTAGTTTGAACTGCTCTTCCTATCCACTGAGAAGGGTGGAAAAGTACAAGCCAAGTTATTACTCAGACCACAAGCAGATAATGGAGTATATGCCACAACTTCTACACAGCTTCTACTTCGAAGAATGTTATTTTGGTATCTAGCAAGAAAAAAAATCTAGAACAGATTTCAAGTGTTTTGACAAAACCTTTTTTCCGTTAGGAAATGCTCATTGTGAAGATGAGAGTAATATCAGAAAAGATCTTATCCAGGTGCTGTCACCAGTATCAGAATATCTAAGAGCCAGATGCTTAGGGCATTCCTTTGGCTTACTAGACCACACCAAAACCCACGAATATGTCCTTTTTCTGCTAGTTTTTAGGACATCTTTACAGTGACAGGCATTGCAATCACCTGGTTGCACAAAAGGTTTATATGGATCGTGTGACTCAGCACAAATGAAACACAGATGTCGAAACAGTCATTTTTCTGCCAACAGAGTACAATTACTCCATTCTAGCCAGGCTGCAGGCATAAATAGTAGAAAAAGCACAGAAGGAGCTATGTTAACAATTGAGAATTTGCATATTTCAAGGACTTGAAATGAAAACTGCCTGTGAAAACTGAAAAGTAGCATGTATTGTTTGTATGTGGTGAGCGTGAAAAACAGGGGACTAACTTAAGATAGGGGTTTGCTTTTTTTGTTTGTTTGTTTGCACTTTTAAGACTCAATGCTTAGGTTAGATTATTGCTGTTCCTAATCTGACAACAAAGCTCACAATGTTAAAAATTAAGTCAGATACATCAGCAATTGAGTTACCCTGGCTGTATTACTAATGTCACAAGATGACTTCAGAAAACCAGAATGCAACGTACTGCTTTAGATACTGCACCACCACAACCTCCTCTTACTGAGATGCAGCACGTTACATTCTCACAAGTTCAAACTGCAATCACACTTTGAATAGATACTGTAAAATGGCAAAGAGTGTTCTTCAATGTTCAGACGAAGACACATTCTTCCCCTTCTCCCCCCTATCTTATTGTCTCTTGCTCTAGGAGTTTGGCCAAGGAGAGAAGATGACTTGCAGTTCTGACAATTCATCGTAGCCTCTGAATCAAAACAGCATCACTGTCTTCAATAGTGTGACGACCAAACAATAGTTCGTATAAACTCAGGTCTTACACCTTTGCAAATTCATTGTCTTTCAGTAACCTTACACTCCTACAAGTAAGTGAAATGTAAACCACACAACTGCAGACACGACAGTAATAGAATTCAGTTAGTTTTGAGTTGTACCATTAAAACCTAAAATATGTTTTCAGTATATTTATAACAGCTGTATTTGAGTTGCTTTCTGAAGGCCAAAGTGAACAGCCACAATACTTAAAATTAATATTTGAAATGTTCCCCAACTAATTGCTCAAAAACATCTTCGTTAAATTCTTACAAAAATCATTTTGGTCTATAGAATTCCAACATCCACCAAAACCAAGAGCTTATAACAATAGATATATAAAATATATTTTCAGGGATTCTTTTTTGAACAAATAATGAAACAAAGATCAATCACCACATTATCATACAACCCAGTTTTATCACTTTCACATTTACAAATATACGTTACTCACAATAACATTCAGATAAAGCCAGAGCTTTTCAGACAAGAACAAAGACAATAAATCAGATACAGATAATTCAACAATATATTAAGAGTAACAAAATCATTAATACATTAGGTAAAAATTAAAGTTTACTCCCAAGCCAGTGTTTATCCTTCTGTAATCATCTAGGTCCTTCTTGTTTTGAGGTGCCTCAGTGAAAGCTATGGCTGAATAAACAAAACGGATTTATGCGAGAATGACATAGATGCGACAATTTCTAAAAAGAGATCATACAGATATGGGAGCAGGGTGCTCGTGAATACAGCCAGGACAGCAGTGCAGAGAATCATGAACAAACAAATCGCATTCCACGCAAAATGCATTCTGACACACTTTACATATGTAAACCTGTGTGGAAAAGATAGAAAACCAAGTAAAATTAGAAAAAAATTATCACCATATAGCACTACAGTAGGGCAACAGTTGTGTCATCAAGACACAGTAAATAGACTGTATTGCTAACATCACAGAAACCAAATTGAATTAAAGTTTCGAACAGCAAGTATGTCCAAAGGGCTGAGCTCGAGTCACTGTAGATGCTTCCAAATGGCTACACAACTCTCTAGGAAATCCCTTTCCACACTTCTATAGACTTTGCAGTCTAAAAGGCCGAGACTGCATAACAGAGAACCCTAGTTAACCATGAGATAAATTTCCACAAATACTCTTCTGGTCTTTAGAAGACTATATGAAAGGATCATCTCTACTTCTGACACCCCTCAATGCAAATTCCAATGCAGTTCAACGTACTTACATTTTGATCTTTCATTTCTCCCTGGCAGCCTTGACAATACCTAAAAGCAAAATTGTGTATTTTAACTAAAAAAAAGGTCAAGGTTGTGTAAAACTGTTTAAAAAACATCTCATACATAGTAACAATTCATGGCAATTATTTCAGCTATTCAACTGAACACACAGGATAACTGTTAATGGGAACTACAAATATTTCTTATTGCCAGAGGTGCCCCAAAACACCCAAACATTTAACAGTGTCTCCAGCAGCAAAGAAGCTGCTGCCAGCTATTCTTACTTTCTGACAAAGAAATTACAGGGTCCACAAGTACACTCGTTATCACAAATACGATTTGCATACCGTTCCCCCTGATATTCTTCCAGGGGAACTTCCTGAAAGGCATCCAAAGGAAACAAGTGATGATAAGACCGAGCCAGGTGAGGTGCAGACACTAACGTAAGACCTGCAAATAAAGAGACATCAACATTATTATAAGAGAGGACTTACTGAAAAGCTTTTCTGTATTAAACAGAGCAAAAAGGAAAAAGACTTTTTAATTACTCAGTGGTTCAGCACTTTTAAGAATTAAAAACCATAAAATTATTTGTTAGCTTCCACAATCCACACCTGTAATCCTTTTCAGAATTAGATCCAAATATAAATTAAAGAACAAGCAAATGGCCCAAATTTCTAATTAGAAGATCTAACTCAGTCTTTAGAAGAACTTTTACAATGCACAGTTGTAAAAGTACTCATGCCATAAACAAAATGCAGCTATAGAAGAATCTTCTGATTAAATCTAAATGCGCAACTCCTCTTTGGCAACAATGGTTCTGCAGTTTCACATCACCAGTTAAAAAGGTGCCAACTACAAAGCTCTCCTGCAGCCTGCTATAATACTGCTGAAGCCACGCCATAGCCCTGTTTCAGCTAACACAAGTCTGCTGGTTTTGGCTCAGATAAGAGTTAACTTTCTTCACAGTAGCTAGTATGGTGCTGTTTTGGATTTGTGCTGAGAACAGTGTTGAAAATACAGAGATGTTTTCGTTACTGCTGAGCAGTGCTTACACAGAATCATGGCCTTTTCTGCTTCTCACACCACCCACCAGTGAGCAGGCTGGGGGTGCACAAGAAGTTGGGAGGGGACACGCTGGGACAGCTGACCCCAACCGACCAGAGGGATATTCCACACCACATGACGTCAGGCTCAGCATATAAAGCTGGGGAAAAAGGAGGAAGGGGGGGATGTTCGGAGTGACAGCGTTTGTCTTCCCAAGTAACGGTTAAGCGTGATGGAGCCCTGCTTTCCTGGAGATGGCTGAACACCTGCAGGCTGATGGGAAGCAGGGAATGAATTCCTTGTTCTGCTCTGCTTGCATGTGCGGCTTTTGCTTTACCTATTAAACTGTCTATCTCAAGCCATGAGTTTTCTCACTTTTACCCTTCCGATTCTCTCCCCCATCCCACCATGGGGAGCAAGTGAGTGAGCGGCTGTGTGGGGCTTAGCTGCTGGCTGGGCTTAAACCGTGACACAGGCTAGTGTTAGCCAGGGCATGGGCTGGCACAAATTTTGCATCGCTCACTCACATGCAGTGCAAACTTCTGAGCTCTGGTTCTGCTGACAGCTGCAGCTGTGAAGAATCTGTTGCTGATACATAGTCTCAGTGTAACTCAGTGTAACTGTCTCCAGTTACACTATTACCTTGCTGAAACTAAACTCATGCTAATATGAAAACCTTGACATGAAACTAGGACAAGGTGACCCAAAACTAGAATTATTTCATCCTCTTGCCAAATACACGCATCTTGATAATACCGACCACGTTTCAGTCATATGCCTGTAGAAGCTAACAGGAGGACAGCTGTCGCTCACATATTAATACTATAGAAAATGCTAATCCTCCCTCCCACCCTCAGTAAGGGGCGGGGGGGGACACGGACTACACACACCATTGGTTGCACAGGCCATTAACATTTGCAAGACCGGAAAGGCTTCCATTTACAACTCTACAGCCTTTCATGTGTCACTGTGCAGCCTGCCCTTCGGTTCAACTTTGAAACCTTTCATCCACATACTCCCAGGGGCGAGGGGGTACTCCTGTCCTTTCACTCCAAAGCACTCTTTATCTTCATGGCCTTGCACTGAGGAGTCTGAAACGTTGGTGTGTCTGTTAAATCAGGATTCTTGAGGAAATTATTACCATTGATATGTGAATCACCCTTCTTCCCCCCTTTCCTTCAGAGCTTTTAGTATGTAACATTACACTAGGGAACATGATACAGCTTTACTGTTACAGGTCTAGTCCTGAAAGTCCCCTGTATGAAGCTGAACATCCCGGGACACAGGAATGCAGGCTTCTTAAACCAGAGCTGGCTTTTAATTCCAAAGTATAGTTGAATTTTTCTACCCCTTAACTCTCTTACCACTAACTCATAATTCATCTGCTCACCTTTTCTTGCTACTCACCACAGATTTTGCATTCCACAGGAAGTTCACAGTACTTGGCTCTGCACTGGGGACAGAAATATCCACCCAGTGTAAGGCCTGGCTCACTGTTGTTTTCCAATTGCCTAGAGTAGAGAGAGACACTTTAATACCTAAGAGATAACACTGTAACACTACATAACTACAAATACTACATAGTTCTCACAAAAAGTAGTTTAAGAAGTTTCACTAGCTTCCATGCAACAGTTCCACACCTATGGAAGCGTCAGAAAGCAATTGATAGGGTGACGTATCAGTAACCACATTTTCCCACAGAAACAGAACAAAGACCAACGTTTCCCACATAAAGGAGCCAATATATCTTTAAAAAATAAAGTTATGAAAAATAACAGCATTAGTATTTCTACTTACACACACACACAAATATTCCGTGTTGACTTTAAGATACACATTAGTACTTACTCTTTCAAACAGCAGACACTGTTTCCTTCTGAAAATTCAGACTCCCCTATCATCCCTGAAAACTATGATTCCTTTCACTGAGAAGAGCACTGGTACACTAATCAAATGAAGCCTCTATTTTAAACTTCCCTTTAAAGTCACATTAGTAAATAGATACAAAATACTTTATTCCAGGTAATACCCCTCATCCTCATCATTACCTTTACAGTGATAAAACTACTTGAATCAAGAAATGCAAGTAAAATTGGTAGTAATTACTTCAATACCTTGTAGCACCCTTGTGTTCTAATCACTGCACAACACAACTAAAAACCATTTACTACCTTCAAAGAATTTTAAATGTAAATTTTAAAAAGCGTATTTAATAGAGGTAACTATGGCCATATACTGAATGTGCAAATGGAAATAAAATTTCTACTGAGAAGTCACAAGACATTATTTACTTTTTTTTTCCATTTTATTTTGCAATATTTTCACTGACAAGCAGATTTTCTAAATATGACTAATTATTATTGAATTCTATTCTGCTCATTGAATTACAATAAATTCTACTTACGCCATGCTAAAGGATGGCTTTGCATCTTGATCAGATAGAGAAGCAATAGTATGCTGAGGAAAACCTGAAGAGAAAAACATCCCATATTACCAATTTTCAACACGCAAGTCATCTTTCGGTTTCTTACTTCAATGGAGAAGTTTAAAGATTATTCTAAACATTAAGGCCTATCTCTTTGTTTGTTTGTTTGTTATTACAGGAGAAGTAACACACTCTTACTAGGCATCAAATTCTTCCTAAAGGTGTCTGCCTACATCCACCAACAAATCCCTCATTTTATTTCCCCCAACTGAAAAAAACCTTTTCATAGACTTCATATCAACTGAAGCTCACTGGAACCCCATTTCTGAAGAACAGCTAAAAGAAAATTATTTGCAATGGTAGGAAAGCAGAAAGAGCACTACGTGAATGATCACTTGAACAATGGTTTCTAATTAAGGGGAAAATATTTTATATGCAGACACCAAGCATATATTCACTTTCCAAGTGCAGTATATGACAGATGAGACTATAGCACTTTACGGAGACTGTAACAGATACCATTCTTTCTACCACTTATTTTTTACAGCTCATGTCAAGTGGGCAGTTAATTTTTCTGATTGCTGCCCAGGCTTTACCTATAACAAGTAAATCTCTTCAGTACTTAAATCTAAACATAAAAATACATATATTCTTATCTGTGAAAACGGGTGGATGTAAGTGAGAAATCAGTGCTCTAGTTTGTGGCATTAGAGTTCCTATTATGGTTTAACTCTATGCTTAAATTTATTAAGAAATACATCAGGAGAAGAAAAGGTACCTAAGCCATTTGTTGAAAGAACACCACAACAGTGCTCCTAACAAACATGTACTACATGGCCAAACAGATGGATCTTACAGTCAGTTAAGCTTATAATAGTTGCCTTCTGCAAGGAAAAAAAACGAGGGAGAAACAAAATAGTTTTTCACCCTTTATTTCTACATATTACATTTCTACCAATTACTGTACAAGCGATATCATTCCACTTTATTGTTTCCAACTGCAGTTGAGTAATTGGTCTTATTTGGTTTAATTCTTAACTTTATTTAAAAGCTGACTACTTTGCAGAAACAACATCAAGAAAATTGCTACCTATTTAGCAAAGTAAAAGTTAAAAAAAACAATCGTGCAATGTCTTTATTATGCTTCTAACTATTTGTATGGCTTTAACACAGAAGATGCAAAGAAACAAAAAGACAAGATTTGCAAATCTTGTGCTAGCACTTTTACAAAACCATATCTTACCCATTCGAATAAGGGAGCACTCGGAACTTGAACTGGCAGGTGGAGGACTAACATGATGCATCAGCAGTTCCTTATAATGACTTTCATCTAAAATAACATGGTATGTTCCTGTAATGAAGAAATAAATGCCTTACTCTCAGATTATGAGAAGGTAAGAATACAAACATGTTCTCCAAATGACAGAAAACAACTTAAGTAAAAAAAATAATTTAGCCAACCCTGTTCCTAAAAACCAGTCCTGTTAATGCTACTGAAAATGACAAGTTTTAAAATGCGTAACACCGGAATGTTTAATCAGATATGAAGGCCCATAGCTTTTTCTCCAACATTACACTGAGGTAATGATATTGTAAGAGTTACCACTGTAATAATTGATATTAACGTGTTACATTAATTAAGCTCCACGTCACATGGAACACTAGGTTTTAAAATATATGTATTTCTTCCCTCTAGAGATGCAGCTACCAGCTGATAATAATTTCACTAAATACTGTGTATTTTGTAGATTTGGGAAACTCTTACATTTTCTGCCAGCACAACAAAATATTCATTCTTAAATACCAAAATGCATTAATGAATATATGACAAATTAGTTATTTAATTTCAATTTTAAACTTGTATTAGTAGTATAACTACTGAACTTCAGATACATACCACCAGTTTCTCGGGCAAGTACTGTACAAACTCGAACTTCAGCACTTAGGCCGATGACAGATACTCTGATCTTAACTGCTTTTAAACACTTTAAACGGAAAAAGAAAGCATATTCAAATTCATATGCAGAACAGAACAGTAAAAAGGTTCAAAATTTTAAACGAAAATTAATTGGCGATGACACTGCAACTGTCTGTTTTTAGTCTAATAGCTTGGATGTTCAATGTAGTAGTCAAACTTCACTTTTGTACCTTAATTAGATCATAGATGTTGGCTGGATCACATGTCGTCAGACTGCTGAAGACTACCAAAACCTCTCTGCTTGTATGTCCTGGCATGTGCCTAAAGAAAGTATATAGTTAATTTACTTCTGAACACTAAGCTACTTGTATGCTAAAGTTTCCAAGGACTTTGACATACTAAAGTGAGAAGATGACATGATATGAAGTCCCATACAAATTATAAAAGACTGGTAAGATCCTTCTCTGAGCACCAGAATTTCAAAAGCCAAACCTTTCCAATATCTAAAATACAGTATTTGATTATGTAGTTGTTATCTGGTTGTTTGCTCTAATGCTTAAGTTATCCCTGTACCTTATCTGTACTCTCACAGGTAAAATTTGCCTTCAAACCAGCAACACTGCAGTAAGTCTTCCTGGCCTCTTAAAATAAAAATCTCTAATCAGTTTATAGGTGTAAATCCATTACTTTCAACTACTGTCTTTTAGTTCTTAACGGAAAACTCTTCCAACTGGTCATTCAAGTTATTTTTTATGACATTGACTACTAGCTTTGTTCTGTCAGTGTTTCTAGCTATAATTATTTGTTAAAACAGTCTTCCACAAATATTTATCCCATCTCAACACCTCACACAGCAAAAAAGTTTTTTAAATCTATCCTACCCAAAAATTTGCCTTTCTAAAGTATGCCAGATTTTTGTGATTCAATGCTGTTTCTTTTCCTGTTCTCTTATCATTATTAACCCCTAACTCTGCCCTCTCTCATACCTTAGCAAAAAATTATTGTGGGGTCTTTCATCACCATATTCACACACGACATAAAATCACCTACTTCGTTTTAAATTATTGTTGCTTTTTATAAACAGCATTCCTCTAAATAGAAGCATCTTGTGTTAGAAAATTAACTTCTGCACTACTAGCATATTTACCAGTCTGTATTGTAAGAGGACATAAATCAGCACTATACTGATTATGGAAAACAAAGAAAACAAAAAACCCTCCATGTGTATACTAACTTTAAAGTCTGCATGGCCAAATTTAGGGAATTATATAGAGATGGCTCTCCACTGCAGTTCATATCCACTGCTTTCTTTAGAGCAGTTATGTGCTTTTTTGAGTTACCTGTAAGTGAAAAAAACAATTCACCTGAAATAGCAAGTTAAAAGAATTGAAATATTTAAAATACATATTTAATGAAGTGTACTTGTACAACAACAGTTTTCAAACTGTAACTTGTAACTCTATGTTTCTCCTTAGAAACTGACCTCTGGATCAGAATGCAGAAAACAATAAAACAATATATTAACAGCAAGACATTCACTCTACAGGCACTCAATTGTTAGAAACTTTAAGTTAAAAAGAATAAAATCACTGTTGCGTATCATTAAATGCTTAACGTGAGTGTGAAGCATCTCACAAAATGTTTCAGCAGAAACAGAGTTCAGTTTCCTCTGTTATCCTCAAAGTACTGTTCAAGGATTGATTGATCCTCAAATTCCTCAACTAAGTTGCTCCAGTTTCACAGGTGAATAAAGAAAAAAAAATTAAGACTTCACCTCTGAAGCCACACAGATTGCTAGTGACAGAAGACAGGAACCAAAGAAACCTTGCTTCTTAACATCTGATCAGATCTCACAGAACACACAGATGTCATAAAATACAAAATTAACAAACAGGGTGAGAAATTAACTTCAGGGGAAAAAAACATATTTTAGTTGCAATCTGGATAAGACTTGATCACGAACAAGCACATGATGACAATTCTAGATCAAAACAGATCTAAATAAAGACTCTGGTTTCAGATAACTTGCATAACTTCTTTTCAGTTAAAAATATTATGTTAACGCTACTTCACTTGCAGCAGTGTCATCCAGGTAGAACTTAAAATATCAAAGCAAGAGATGAAAACATCTCCAATTTAAAAAAAATATACTACCTCCCTACCTGAAAGTTCTGTCATTTTTTCAGCTCTTTTACTCTTGGTTACAATTAAGCCAACCTGGAGAAGGAAAAAAAAAGGCAAAACTTTTCTTAGCAAGCTTAAAAATAAATTGATTTACATTTTTGCTATATTTTGCCTAATACTTCTTTATGGAACTTAACTATAGAAGTTTTCTTGTACGTGTAACAACAGCAGCACACCACTATGCATCAGTTAACATACATTCCTGTATTTCCAGTACTTTTGCCACAAGGTACAAAAAGAAATCTTCTAAAATCCTAAATGCCTGAAAAAAAAAAAAAATCAAGTCTTCTGTGTTAGAATTTATGTTTAGGAAAAAGAGAATAGATGGGTTCTTATTTTCATTAGTTCAGGCAGAAACAAGAATTTACCAGACTAATGAGGAAAGGATGGGAAGGAACACATCAACAGAAAACAGCTTACTAGATAGTGTTAAAACTAAAACTAACTTTTAAAATAGTTTTCAGTTACTTTTTTCTTGCATGGTTGTACATACCTGACTAATAGGATTTTGGTCAAAGTACTCTTCCACAAAATATTCCAGTAACTATAAAGAAAAGTTAAGACTGTTAAAAACTAAATACAGTTTTATTCCTCATGCATTAAGTAAGTGGTACTTGCAAAACATCCAGTATTATTTTGGAAAAAAAAAAAAAGTTGGAAAAAAAAAAGGGGGGAAATGAGCCCTTCCTTTCCATTGTTTTCACCCTAGCGCTTCCATCCTTCTCCTTCCTTCCATGTTACCAACGCAATGTAAATTTCAGAAACTAGCCACCCCTTATTTTATTCACTTCGTATGCTAAAGTTCTAGATTACTGTTGGTGCAAAAGGAGGTTTATGATACACCAAAAAGCGCTAATCCGTACAAAATGATCAAAACCCAGGATTTCAATGCTTAGTGTTATTAGAGAAGACCATATAGTACAAGATGCACAGCTCAAGACCTCCACAGTCTGAAGCAGCAATCCAATTCAACTCCTGTCTAGCATCCATTCAAACCAGAATCCATCAAAACACAACTGGAAGAAAAAAAAAATTCTAGATGTGTAATGAAAGCATGTTTGTTCTTCTTTCATCCCTTATTACAGGCAACACTTCAGCTTAATTTCCACGTACTTTTCATAATCTGTCTTTCCATAATATGTCCTTACAAAGTGTTTTTACTGTACAGAAGTATTTGTGCAAGGCAAACTAATGTCACACAGATTTTACTATTCAAAAAACAGGAAAATTACAGACTAGCAACAGAAACAAGGGGAAAAAAGCAGGGATGAGAGAAGAAATGAGGCTATGCACATCATCTAGTCACAGGAGGCTGCCATTCTTTAAAACGCAAAATGGAACTGGTTTACAGAGAAACGGTGGATTAATAAGAGAAAACTTTTGAGTACAGAAATACCTTCAAAGTGCAAGTAAGTCTGTTCGGTTTTAAATCTTGGTCCTCCATAGTTCTTGATCCATCAACAACCACGTAAAGGTGACGCATCTGCATTTTCACCATAAGTGATAATCACTCACAGAACACATATTGAAATGAACTGTTCATTATTCCATTTACTTAAAAAAGCAACTACTTCCTCCCTCAAACAAAATTCAGTATAATGAGCTATGCAATCAACAGCAACTGAAAAAGTAATGCATTTTTTCCACTTTTCCTTCAAAATGAAAAAAAGGCTATCTTGAAAAACGCACACTGTTCTTTCCCTCTCACGATAAGCTATAAAATATGCATCGTTTGCACCCTCACCTCTTCATCTGAAGAGCTCAGCGCTGTACAAAGTAATGTTATTTACAACTCATTTAAATTATGCCCATTTTTCACATGAAGAAAAATCGACAGTGCAAGTGTGTGTGATCTGACTGCTGTTGCAAAACACACCCTGATACAGCGAACATGCCAAACCTCCACCTCTGAAGACTCATGCTTCACATTCCACACTGCCAATGAACAAAGAATGTTTCAAAAAACCCAAAAAGTTTGGTGGAAAACGCGAACTTTGGTCTCAAGCACATTAAGTCAGCAAAAGTGTATTTCAGATTAGGCATACCACCTCTATTCAAGTAGTTTTGGACTCAGGACAGACAAGGGTTATGACATTAACATACCATTCCAAGTCGAACTTGTCCATGGTGTTCATAGAGTCTAACAAAACACAAAAGGATTTAAGTAAGATGCAAATGAATGAATGGTTCCTAAAACAAAAGTCTGGAACAAATCCAATACTAGACTTCTGGCAAACATGAAGCAGTAACAAACCACTGACACTTATTTACACTGAAAAAAAGAGAATTCAATTACAAACAGATTTCATGCCTCTCAGAAAACAAACAAACAAAACCTACTTCTTAGTACCAGGTTTACTAGAACTTTCAAATTATATCCGAATTTGAGTATTTTAACATAATCTGAAATAAAACAAATCTAGATTTTACCTAGCAATTTTTCTGACAATTTGAAACACAAAATCTGATGCCATGATAACAAAACCCAGCTTGAAGCATGATTTGTATATTAAAAAAATGTTGAAGGATTTTCCCTAAGCAGTGCAAATTGCAATTGCAGTGCTTTGCGTTGTGTTTCATCAGATCAAGACCTCACCTCTTTAGCTAGCATACATATGGGGTATCTACCCTGTATACGTTCAGTCTTAAGATTAAAGATAAAATAAATTTTACTATTTTTTCTGGCACAGTTAATAAGTAGCAGGCAAGAAGCATGGATCTGGAGCTCTGAAGGGGTAAGGTCACAAAAATATATTGAAGGTGTGCCGATATGCTTATTCAACCTAGAGGACCCAGTTTCAGAATGCTTAAGTCCTCATAACTGACCAAGTATTATTAGCAACACATAATACCTTTTCCTCTTTGCCTTGAAAAGAATGTCCTCGATAGTAGCTTTCAGCGATCCGGATTCATCTTCTTTAAGAATTTCCCTACGCAAAACAGATCGTTATTGAGCAGAAGGGAGATTTTTCTCCTCTTTCACCAACAAGAAGGCAAAAGGAAAGCCTACCATGTTCTTTCGTAGCCTCCTTCCCAGCGCTTGGTCCGTTCGGGTTCGTCATCCATCTCCGTGGCTTCGCTCTGCCGCTGCGGAGGGCAACGACGGCCGCGCTCCCCACTACACTGAAAGCCGCTGGTCCCGGCCGCGGAGGCGCAACTCCCGCCCGAGGGGAAGCCCCGTTACGGTGCCGCACGGCGGGTGAAGGGGCTGTGAGAAGGGACCAGCCCCAGGCGCGCCGCCGGCGACCGGGA